CACTAGTAGAATAATCGGCTTTTAAAATCCTTGGGTTTTTTATATACTGCTTATTTTTATGAGATTTCTTTAACTCAATTTGCCACATATAGATTTGGCTCCCAGCTATTTCATTTTTCACGTGGCACGCTATCAACAATTATTGTATCAGAGTTCCATGAAATCAGGAGGAGATGGGGAAATTTTAAATTACAGCATTTCCCATGTAAGAAACACTAATATTCCTTTATTTTGGAGGACTGTCCACACCTAGCACTCTTTCACAGCACTCCCAGGGAGGGTGGCAGGAGTAAACTACCCTACACAACACCGTGAGAAAGGAGGAGCTGGATGAAACTCTAGTTTAAAAGAAGCCACTTGGACTTTTGCTATTGACTTGAAAGGGACCAAGATGTATCCAGAGAGCTAGTGAAGTGGAAAGGATGAATGGGAATGGAAAAGGCCAGTCTGACAGGAACAAATTGTTTTGGAGAGATGTGTTAATTTTTGACAATCTTTCTGTTAAAACAAAATAGATACAACCTAGAGCAAAGCGTTCGAGTCACTGCGGAGCATTGCACATTGACCTTTTCAGAACTGAACGCTTCAGTTAAGTAAGACATCCACATCCTACCGTAAGGTACATTTTGAGGTGGTTATATCAAAACTAAGCTTCTGCAGTGACCAAAATAATCTTTCTCCATCACGTTTTTCTTCTGTGATTAAATTCCCTTTTTTCTTTCACATTTAAGCATTTTCATCCTATCTTATTGAGCAATTTTTTTTTTGGAAACCATAAAATTTCTTTTGAAACAGCACTCCCCACAGATACCCCCGGGATGCTGCAAGCCCGGTGGTACGAGCGCAGGGGCTGGGCTCACGGCAGGCAGTAATTGGTGTTGTACAGAGGGGAAAAAGCCACCCCAAACCCCAGCTCCTTTCTGCCGTAAGGCGGTGGAGCTCGCGTGGCGCGGCTTAGAGACGCGGGCTTTGAAAGGGCAGCAGAATCCTCGCAGGGCAGGCGGTGTTGGGCAGCAAAGCTGTGCAACCCGTCCCGCTTTATCAGCACTTGAAAGGCAACTTCTGCAGCTCCGGGAGAACTTTGCTGATTTAGGCTGCCAGAGGGACCAGGGGAATTTCAGCTCCAGCTTGCAGCTGCATTTTTAAAACTTGGCTGTGTTCTTCGTATAGAGGCAAAGTTCAAAGAGGCAGAACATTATTCAATATGAGTAAAACACGGTCTTTTAAGATACACTTTCAAACAGTGGCGCGTTAAATCAAAACAACTCGTGGAGGGGGAGAGTAAGGAAGAAAGATGGTCCTGTGGAAAAGAAAATCCTGCATCACTATTCCTGTTCTGCAATTTTGGAGGGGCCTGTATTTACACATTTAAATTGTCCAGCTGCGTGACCTTACCCTAGATAAGCTAGAAATGCATTACAATGTTTTCCAGAGAGTATAAGAAATGCAAAAAAGAAATGCAATTCAGTATAAGAGCCAGCGCACATTTGAGGATGTATTGGGGCCAGGCTGTGACACACGTGTTCACGCTACAGAGAACTTCACTCCTCCAAGAACAAGCTCCTGATTTCAAGAACACTATGCTATGGTGTAAGACACTATTTCAATTAAGCTATTATAATCTTAACCAGCAACAACAACCTATTATAATTAATAATACTTGATGATTTCTTTTCTATTCCTGTCAAGGGTTGCTTCAAGGTGACTCGCACACCGCAGAGAACACGCTCCTTGGAAACCCATGCAGTCTGAGTGCTCTGCAGTCTGGGAAGCCCCTTCACTTAAACCCCATCAGACTGTCTCTAATGAGTCTCTTCAGGTTGCTGCCAATTCTTCCAGCTCTTGGACAATCCCTTTTGAAGGATATTTGTATTTTAAGCTAAAGCAAACTTGCTTCTTCTGCGGGAGGCTAAGTGCCCAGCGGCATCCACCGTGCCGCAGGTTGGAGTGCACGTCCTTCCTGTGTTCCCATTTTCTTGGTTCACTCCAGCGCCTTTTGGCTTATTCACTGCAAAGTTAGTGGGTCACATCTTTCTTGGCCACTCTCCCTCCCCTGCCATGGCCAGGCACAATTTTCAGCTGTTCGCAGGGTCAGAGATGAGGCGCGGTGCTCTCTCCCCGCTCACCGCATCCCGGCTGCTAAGAGGGGACCATGCTGCACTTTGCGTGCAGCACCCACCGATGCCTTCGCTTGGCCTTGTACCCCGGGGTGCGCTGTGACGGCCCCGCTGAGCCTTCCCCATTCGCTTCGAACGGGATCTGCTCTACTGATCCTGCTAAAGCCTAACAGGGGCTTTCCCTGCAGCTCAAGGCCCTGCTCAGTCTGTGCTCAACAGCATCTTTTTGATGGTCTTACTCTGCAAAATTTCCATGGGTAGAGCTTGAGTTCCATATGTCCCTTTTTTTTCTTTTTTTTTAAAGTCTGGGCAAAATCCCTACGGACTTCAAATAGTCATTGGCTGCTCACACTAGCTGCCCTCAGAGCCAGCGTTTATCTGGGATACTCTAATACTCTAGCTACTTTTCTCACAAGAGGTGAGCAGAGTTATTAAGAACAGTGCAGATACTGTGGTAATCGAGTAATACTGCATTTTTAATCACAGCCATTATAAATGGGCATATGGAAGATGTGAGAAATAACAATTGTACAGGATATCCAGGGAAGCATTTTGAGTCCTCAGGCATAGTTCAACAGCAATGAACAGTGGAAAATGAATGCTGATCTCCTGTAACATATAATAAGATTTTTTAGTTTGCTTGAAGCAAATCTGTACTTTAAACATGGATATACACGCATATGCATATATATATATATTTATAGATGCATATACATATATAGCTTACTGTTGAATCAATGCTGAACACATTTTGCTGTTACCTCTAAGAATATGCAATGCCTTTCATTTGTCAACCACTGCCATAAATAATCATGAATTCTGGCCACATATTTTTTCTCTTGCAATGGCTGGCGTGGTACCTCCTTAGTTATTACAATAGTCTGAAGCATCCTGAACTATAAAGAAGTTTCCAAATCTCTGCTAGATCTGCGCTTAGCTAAACACATTGTCTAGACTCGTCGCTACACAAAACAGGGATACATAACGTGGAGGCAAAGGAGGAGCACGCAGACAACCACAGTAACTCTATGACCTCTCTATCACTTTCTCAAAGACACAACATCATGTTTATTGCCAAGTGCACAGAATGAGGGCCTCAGATACCCGAATTCCCAGGAGGTTCTACAAAAGCAAGGAACAGGAATTCAATACTAATATAAACCTTTAAAAGAATACCGATTAAACAGGAAAGAGGGGGAAAAAACCCTCAAAATACATCAAAGACAAATGTAATTGCTTTTGAATGAAACCAGATTGCTTTTTACCTACCTACCTTAAAGGCAAGCACTCCAGCCTGGGATAGAGAATACCAAAAACCACTGGTAGAAGTAGAGGCACACTATTTTGTAGGCAAAGTTATCCTATTTTGATTTAATAGCTCAAAGGCTTATCTGGATTTCAGACAAGAGGAGGATGCAATTTACTGCTTCTTTCCCACAAATGAGCAGGGATAGTTAAAACATTTGGGAACACTTTGAATATTGATCTGTCCTAGAATAAGATATAAGGAATTTGACTTGCTATGGAAATATTGTATCAATCTTCAAACCTTGATGTGACCCAAAGCGGCCTTCAAACGAAAGCTGGAAAATCCTCTGGGAAGATGCCATTAGAACCATCAGCTCAGGGACTTCTCGCGTCTCCTCCGCCGAGCAGGACCAGGATCAGCACTTTGAAGCTGGCACGTCACCACTCAAAGCGTATCAGGAAAGGAGCTGTACCTATTCTTTCCTCAAAAATAACGTCACATTCTGTCGCCACTGCATGTCACCGCAGCAGCCCATTCCTCACAACGCTGAAAGACAATCAATCATGGCTGCAAATCACCTTGTTAAAAATAGTGGCCACCGGAGACTTTCCTATGACACCTCAGGCAGCGGAGAAGCCATGATAAATGTTTGCTGACACAAAACAAAGTCATGCGGTATTTAACCCCTCAGCTGGTAAACAACTGAGCATAAGTTGGAAAAATCTCAGATTTCAGGAGACTTACAAAAGTACCGATGACAGATTTCACAACATAATTTCTGCTCCAAGAGTGAATACACTCCTATTAGTTAAGTTCAGCGATAAGCTACAACAGCCCTGGTACCATACTGGAAACTGCATGGTTACACCACACTTAAATAACAAACCAACAATACAGTTGAAAAGAAAACACTAAAGATCCTTATAACTGTATTTTTCCAAGCATATAAACAAGTTCACTTGTATTCCACGTACAGCTTACAACCTCGCTAATTCTTCACCCATAAATTTTCTGAAACTCTAGTTTGGTTTTTTTCCCATTTCACTCCCTGTAAGAAAAGTCCCTGGGGATGGAGGATGAGCCAGAAATTTCAGTGGGAATATTCTCACTTCAATAGGTTTGCATCAGACCCCAAACAGGGAATTATTTTCTTCACACTTTGGGACACAGACTTTATCAGAGTCTGACTGAGTGCCAGATATTGAGTTTGCAAATGACTGGATTAAATATCAAGGAGGCAGATATTCAGCATTTCAGGCACAGGGTCCGTGAAAGGCCACCGCCGGGCTGGCTTTCAGTACTCTGCAGTTAGAATAACAGCCCTGTACACGTGTAACGAGCATATGAGAGCGGCAGTACAGAGAATTACTCTACAAAACTGTTGCTTTTGCAAATTCCACATCTAGGAAGGGATCACCAGGATCCACGTTCCCTTCAACCCAAGTCTGCACTTTCTCTGCATCCAGAGAAAGAGATACCAGCTAGATCGTTCTCATCTCCATCAGTCTTCAACAGAGAGCCAGCAACAGCAAACCTCTCCTACGTTGCCTCTATGTCAAGAGGAGGCAAAGCTACTGTTGTCAGATTAATGTTTGAAAGCTAGTGATAACTTTAAGACTTTTTTTCAACTGTACCTGGTTTAGAGCCTTCGTCAACAGATCCATTATAGACTTGGTTTATAAACTCCGGTCTGTTGTCATTCATATCAATCACATAGATGTAAAGGTCAATAGGATTCTCCACCTTGTTTCCATTCATATCCACTGCATGAGCCCGGAGCTGGGAATAAGCACAATGAAAGCATAATATCAGCAATTGGATTTGTCGCAGAGTGAGAGACCATGTTTTGTAGGAATTGACTTCACCTCATAAATACTTTCTCAAAATTGAACTGAGCGGGTATCTAATTCCAGCAGAAAGCAGCAACATGGTTTCCATCTAGACTCTACACACAGACAGTTTTTTCAAGGCTTAACATAATATTGAAATAATATTTTAAAATAGCAATAGTCAGTGGAAACACTTTAACTCTGGGGTAGTGACGCTATCTCCTTCACTGCTAATAGACCACTGTATTTTAGAGACGTGGTGAACCTTGTCTGACAATCCGAAAAGCAAATTTTGCTTAGTCCCAAACACAGTGAGGAAATGAGTTTGACTGAGAGGTTTCTTATGGGAACCTGCAGCCTTTCATACTCTTAATAACAGGGATTAATAAGCGAAGAGATTTCAGAATGGCATTAGTATTGTTTATTCTTTGTTTAATCATGGTCTCTAGGAACAGCAACAGCTACCAACCCCATAGCTCTATGCACCAAAAGATATAAAAAAAGTCCCTTTCCTTCAAACGATGGGAGCCCCTGTGGCACTAAGAATGAAATATTTTTCTCAGGCTTAACTAAAATATCCAGTGATGAAGCATTACAATAACCAGAGCCACAGTGTTAAGTCCTCAGTTAGCGTGGAACTGCGGCTTTATCTTATTAGCAATAACCATCAGTAATAATGCTCGAAAACAAGAGCATCTGTTTTCTGAACAAAAGGGACAGATACAGCATGTCAAAATGAGTAATTAATAAAACAAAGCAATCAACAATAGTCTGGAACAATCAGTAATCAGGTGAAAAAAATGGATAGCTTTCTCATTAAAGGGAACAGATGGCTACTCTAAATGGTGCGTGTGCTGAACGGAGCTGCCGATGTCAGCTTCAGAAAGAAAAATGACAGAGAAGCGAGGAGAGGGCTGCACGGCCCCTGACGATGGCTGGGCAGCGGAGAGGCATTGCCTGGGTGCAGGCGCTGCAGATTTCCTTTGTCACCCCTCTTCATTTCAGCACCAGTGAGTACTGCTGACCCTCCACACCGCCACGAAAATCGGGGACAGCGCGCAGGATGGCTGCGTGACATCCCGCAAGGCTGGCGGGATGAAGAATGAAGGCTTCAGAGGACATTAGCGTGGTGCAAGGGCTGGCTGGAAGAGCAGGGCTGAGGGACAGGGAACCTACCCACCACCCCGCGGCGAGCATTTTGTATGACACAAGCCCTGCGAGCGTGCCGACACACCAGCTCGTGCCTTCGGGGGAAGGAGGACTCTCTGGTCCCTCCCAGCAGCTCCCCGGGCCATCGTGCTGCTGCCGGGAGTCGGAGTGCCTGTGCCAAGGAGGTCTCCAGCTCCTCTGATGCATGACAAATAAATGTGCTAATTGCATTAGCACTGGTTTCCGTCTTTCACTCTTGCTGTGCTGTGATTGATGTAACTTTCTCCTTCATGTATGGTGTTCAGAAGTCCAGAGCTTAACAAAAGAAACTGCGTGCTATTAGGATGGGCTGGATTAACATTTAATCAAGCAAAGAGAACAAACTGCCACGTGAAATGAGCTGGGAGAAACCCTTTTTTTTTTTAAGGAAGTTAAGCAGCACTTCTTTATAGACTGAAGAAGTCCGGCTTCATTTCCAATACAGGATGTACCATTTGTATTTCATGACTTGTAATGCTCTTAATATCTGCATTTCTTGCCTGCATACAAACTGCTTTGACTCCCACCTGTTGAGCGATCCTTCATCACGTCAGATGTAGCAATTCAATAACTCTGCCAGTCAGAGGTCAGACTGCCTTTGAAAAAAAGTAATTCGGAGCTAAAATTAAAGTTATTATCTTCAAACCGAGGCAGCACTGGGCTCTCTCTTGCTGCATTTCCAGCAGCGGAAACGGTTCCATTCAGAGATAAAGCAGAGAGAAGAGCTGATATCTTCCCCCTCAGATCTGACTCTCCCCCTGCAAATTTTTAATTACATTTGATAGCTTTTGTTTGAAATCTCCAGGAGTAAGGGATTTCTCAGCAACGCACGTCTATCTGCTTGTTGCACTCACTAAGCACATGTACCCACGAACGCGCTACTGCCTGCACTCAAGGAAAAAAGGTTCAATAAGCACAACTGCAGCAACCTCATCAAACCTGCGGTGACGCGCACAAGTGTCACCTCTGTCCTGAGCCCAGCACCAGCACCCAGGATGAGTTATGGGAGGGAGGACACTGCCTGGGGACACAGGCACTGGTGACTGATGGCTTTTGGGCAGCCAGGAGGATGGCATCTGCTCCCCAAGCCCAGCGCAGCAGACCCTGCGCCTTTATGTCCTGGATTGTGCTGGTATCTGGGTGTTCATAGCTGCTGCTCCTCTGCTCTCCAACGTGGTTGGTGCTGCTGCCCTCTCTGCACACCCCTCTTCTCTCTCCTGCTCCTTTTTTGCCTGACTTCAAGGAACTTTTCTTCTTTTTTCCTCTTGTGCTTGCTTGCATGAATTTTCTCTATTCGTATTCTTTTTAACAATTCTCCTGTGCTAACGCCTCCGCATCCTCACACAACGCGTTGCTCCTCTGTGGTCAGCGACAACTGCAGCAGAGGGAGAAGAGAGGCTTGAGCCAGAGGGTTGAATCTCAACTCAGCTCAATGGGAGCTCTTCCTCGTTAGAGACCGTTTCTCATTAGAGACCATTCCCAGTGGAGAGAGCAAAGGAAGGAGGGACTCCAGTGGGGCAATCTGTCCACTGGGAAACTAGTTGTATCTCCAAGGCAGATCAGACACTACATTTCCCTTCCTTAATTCATCTTCTCCCTTGTTCTCCTGCCCTCCTCTTCACATTAATGAGGCATCCTCAAGCTGGACAACACACTTTGTTCTGGAGTTGTTTTTCAGATGCCGAGACAGGGCTCGTTTGTGCAAGGCACAGTTTGAGTCTAATACGGTGCTCCGCGGCTCAGGCCACCATCTGCCCCAGCCTGTGACCAAGCGGGTGTTGTGGTGGTAGAGCGACGGATGGGATGAAAGGCAGACACATGCGAGAGCTCTGCAGCACTGGGCAGGGCACAAAAGGTGACGGCTGTGCTCTGTCAGACACACACATCATTTTGAGCTGGGAAAGCCACCACCAAAAACCCCCGGTGAGCAGAACCTGGGCCACGGGACACATGCCAGACACAGGTCATGCACGCGTGTTCGAATGGAAGCTGGTGGCTAGCTGGAGACACAGTTAAGAAACATTTATAAAGTTGGTTTGAAATATTTACATTGTCCCCAAGAGGGAGAACATGACAGGAGTAGAGAAGGAATAAATAATATCAAATGAAATACCTTGCAGAGGATTCTAAAAAATTAATACAGGTAGCTGGCTAATGTCTAGCTGTTGTGTCGCTCTGCTGTACATCAGTCAAAGAGATGGGTCAATATTCTTTAACAAATATTGTTTAAAAGTATGACAATCATTGCTATCATATTCAGCAGCAGCTACCACGGGTCTCTGAGGTTTTTCTACTGACAGTTTCCACTGTAAACGTAGCTGTTGGCATACAAATGATTCAGTATCGTGATTATTGATTACACTGGAGGCTGGTGGTATCTGAAGGTAGTTAGTCAAAGTCAACATAGTGAATTGTGTTAAATATGAATATTACTTATGCGCTAATACCACTAATACAAATATACGTTATCAATCAGTGACAGCGCCTTTAAGCAATAAGCATACAATGTCATGCCTAATTTGTGTGCTCTTAATTGTGATTAAAAGTTCAGATTAGAGTATTGCGACACAAATGGCTGGTATTACTCAATAGAACTCGGTTCAAAATACCGGAATTAGCTATTGTATCCCTTAATTTCTAGTAAACTTCTTCGTCTCCTTGCACTTCAAATAACTCCTCCTTAGACTATAACCCACCTGTTCTGCTCCAGCCATTTCTGAGACAGGATTTCATCAGTGTGATGCTGAAGGCATACACACATGTCTGGGACTGGATTAGGACTTGCTTCAAAGTTTCCCCATAACGATACTACTTGAGTATCATAAGCAATGACTACTTACTGACACGTTTATACGTTTATGTTGATGTCTTTTGAAAAAAGAGCTCAAAAAAGTCTTGGAAAACTAACCTGCCAATTTACTATCCTTTGTACTTGCCAGGCCTTAACTGCAGCTTGCTATGAAACCGGTGTCTGGATCGGAAAAGACATTCAGAGTCGCTAATTCTATCAGCGGTACAAATGGGACTTTGGGAACGCAGTTAAATAAGGCCAAGAGAACTCATGCATATTAAATATTATGACCTGCTGAAACTTCTTTGGCATGCAATAAACATTAAGGGCTGACTACAAGGCAGATGCAACAACGCACGTTTGCTGCAGTGAGACGGCAGCAAGACGGGGGGAGTGAGCTCGTGCTTGTGCTGGGAGCGTGCCCCCCGGCCGCGTCCCCAGGCACGGGCACTGAGGACGCTGGAGTGGCTCCCACAGCATCACTCAGTGCAACGTGTGCAGTCGTGTACCACAACGTGGTGTTGGTTAAGTGGCTGCAAAGCCCTTCTCATTTTTCTCTGCTCATATTTGCAGCTGACTCTGCGTCTGGGATGTCTGTGAGGTCCCTGGAGAATTTGTACTCTGGTTTGTAGCACAGACGAGAAAACAGACGAGGCCAAAATACAGCTGAACTTGCGATCACTACCACTGCCAGCTGTGCTGGGAGGTTAACGTGGGAACGCTAGCACACACTGCGCCTGGGCAGACTCTCTGAGTCCCGGAGGCATATACATCTCTGCATACATCAAGCTTGGAATGATCCTCCCTAAAACTTCAAGAATGATCTTGAGAACAGGGGAAGTTCTGCTACAGAACTCCACAGATCTAATTAGAAAAAATCTGTTTCACCTTAGGGAAAAAGGTAGGTTTCATCAGACAAATGGCTTGCTAAATGCAGGGAGAGTTAAAACACTGGTATTTTAAAAATGGTAGTCCTGAAGCAATACAGATAATTACGCATAAGAAAATATGTGTTGAAAATGTGGAAGTTAATGAAACAGAACCCTTCATATGTAGCCTCGCAAATACTTGCATATTATTATTTTTTTTTATATAATTAGTTTTTAGATTACCTGGGAATGAAAACAGCAAGGACAACACTTGACAGTGACAGAGATGCTGAAAAGACTTCATTCTGTTCAGGACTGCAGAAAACCTGAAGCTTTATAAATGCACCCATCTTCAGCCTGGATCAGACAAGAAGTCCATGTCCTCCTGGGTACGAGGGACCAGGGATGGTGCCTTGCAGCTCCACTGACACCCTTTACTCCAGCTGAAGAGTTAAGCTACTAATACGAAGTAAAGAAACCTCTACAGCAGATGTCAAACCAATTTACAGATGGCCAAGCTCTACAGTTCAGATCCAAGCCTACACCTCAGTCACGGCTTTTCCAGTACTCAGTGTAAGCCGGGCTCCAAATCCATCTTTCCTTCCAATTAGAGACTCAGCTATATGAAGTGGCATAAATTCATCGACTTCTCTGAAACTTTTAACAGCCGAGGCTTTGCACTGTATCTTCTTTCTGGAAGCTGGCCTAATTTTTTCCAGTTTCTAGGACTGTCTATTCCTGCCGTAAGTTTCTGCACTAGTGTTTGAGTCATTGCTTTGTACATGGTGTATTTATAAATGCTTTGTAAAGGGTTATTAAATGAACAATTGATGGTTCAATAAACCATCAATCCATTGCTATTGAGGCTGAAGGATCTAAAGGGTTGTTTACAGCCATGACTTAAAATGTTCTCCATCATCTCCTACTGTCCTGCTAACAAAGATTTTCTATAACTCACTATTCCTGTCTATAAGGTCTCATGACATACTTATCAGTTATTCACTCTCTATAAACTACATCTTCCTGTAACCTTCAGCGTGTGAATATGCCTGTTTACATGCAGATGTCACTGGTTCAAGGCTTCCGTAAGGAACAGAAAAGGCTGGAAATCCTGCGCTGCGTACGAGGCAGGCTCACCCAGGCACCTTTGCCAAGGCGAGAAGTCAGTTTACTGAATTCACTGTAACTGGTAGGCTAAGTTTGCTATTAGGGAGCACATCATTTGTTATTATGGAGGACAAAATCTTTTTCATCTTACGTTTTTGACTGAGAGGGTCTGATAGTAGACATCACAGTGGCTCCATCAAAAGCGTTAACTTGTGTGTTGTATTATTGACTACGCTGTTATAATAACCTGGCACTGCTGAAACAATATCAACAATGTTGAGATGACACACGCTGTATCTCAAATATTCCTTCTTCAAAACAACCTCTCTTCATATTTTCCCAGGCACAACAAACAAAATAATTGTTCTTGTTCACAGAGGATAAAATAATTTTCCTTCAGATCTTCTTTTACCCAGGGGAAATCTCTTTTTCCACCCAACTAAAGAGGTAATCTATTTTCTTTATCCTTCCACCCCAGTCCAGAAGCTGTGTCAACATGGTTAACTGGATACCTGATAAAGCTGACAGAATGTGCATCTCCGACGGCGCAGTTAGGAATATGGTGTCAGTGGAAGTGACCCGTACCGTTTCACTGACATTACAGCATCCCTGGGAACGGCTATTACGATGCCGATAGATGTGGCTAATGCTGATACAAAGCAATCCATGAACAACCTTTCACAACCACTCCAGGAGAGAACTAAAGCGTAGATGCAGAAAGTGTTTGAAATTTTGCAGGGCTATCATGCAAGGTACAACACATTTTTTTAGCAATTTGTGGGACTGTCGCTGCTGTGCAATTATGCTGCGCAAAATAGGGGCTAGGATTTATATCAAAACGTAATGGCCAATTACACTCGAAGTATTCTGCAGGTAGAGCATTTTATGAACTAGGATAGCGTGAGGCAACACTTTTCAGTGTAATTAATCTTAATTAATTTCCTCACATTTAATATTAGTCTATCTGCATATTTAAAAACCTATCTGACACACCCCCATCATACTGCCTGAACATCTCCTAGTGATTTAAAATGAAAAATGACTATACCAATTATTGCATGTTTAGCTGCAGTAATGATTCTTAAATTAGTAATTTCCCAAGATGTGCTAATGTAGCAATTGGCTTCTCGTGGTTTTAGGGGTTCAGTCAACACATAAATTTGCACGGCTTTAATAAACAGCGTGAAGTTGCAGCACTTTAAACAAATGACTCTGTGTCCAAAAAGGACGTTGGTTTAATGCCGCTTTGCATTGGTTTGCCTGATTTAGCAAGGGCAGGTTACACTGAAGGAAAGCAGAAGCGAAGCCAGCATCTCCATACGCACACAATTGCTTCGGCAGAGCGAGACTGAGACTCACACCGTTAGTTAAACCCGAGCACCCCTGCGCAACCAGCTCCTCAGGTCTCTGCTGACACAGGGACCCAGACCAAACTGGGAACTGAGCTCTGGTTTTGAACAAAACCCCTGGTCTTCTCAAAGCTGCGTGCCCCTTCTTGAATCCAGCAATTCCGGTACAGTTCTGCTTTGAGCTTGTGAACCTAGATAAAACTCAAATGTTTTTATGCTTACATGGTAGGAAGCTCTTTCTTCTCTGTCCATCGGGCGAGTTACATACATCCTGCCAGACACAGGGTCAATGCTGAAGACTTCCATCGGCGGCTGGTCGGCTCCCACTCCAGTGATGCTGTATCTGATATGGATCTCTTTGTCCTTATCAGAACGAATCTGGATGAAATAACAAAGACAGCAATCGATAAGTTTTGGACAAAAGCCATATGGATGTTTAAACAACTTTAAAGATCCGAGCCTGAAAGCTGCATAAATGTAATACCGCTGTCAATTTTGACAAGGGAGCTGTACGCCAAAGGTTTGGGGAAAAGCCAGGAAAAGTGTATTCCACATATTTTAAGCTATTTTTCTCCTCTTTTATTCATGACGATTCTCGAGGAATCATTGAAATTCTGACTTTTTGCCTTAGATGTGGAAGAACCTATACGCACAAAAAAAAAATAAAATGCTGTTTACATGTTATTGAAACCCTAGGCTCCTTAAAATGCCCAAATTGTTCAGCCATACCTGGAGTCTCCCAGCCATTAATCACCTCTGGAAACGCTGTCTGCAAGCTCCCACATCATGTCCTCAGTCCCTGTGACTGTGCACACGAACACTCCCATGAAATTGGAAGAACAGGGCTGTTTGCTCCCTCTTTGTCCAACCCCGCCGGCTTGACAAGGCAAGGCTGGGAATGCCCGGTGGGACGTTACCATTTCATGTGACTCTTTGTTGAGAAAAAGCGTGTTTGGCACGTTGCTTTTGAAACCCCTTCCCTCCCATACCTTGAGAACAACACCACAAACTGAATACAGTATGACGAATTACATGAACCTTGGATGCAGAGCTGAGAAAATAAAAAAAGGAAGGTTAATATGTTGTCCTAGCAACCCTGACTATTTCTTTAAACCCAAATTTAATTTTCTGATCAAACGCTGAAAGAAGTTCTTGCAACAGCATGACTATTCCTGAAAGAAAGTGCAAGGTACAAATAAATTACTACCCCCCGCACCACCACAAACTGTCTTGGCAGTGTAAAAGCAACGTGCATAAATTTTTCCCTAACAGGTCTACGAATACAACAAAGTAGTGGGAAGATAATAGAAATCTCGTAGCTGAGCACACGTCAGCATCTCTGCTACGGCAGCTGCACGCTCGGAGGAGCCCGGGTGGGCTCAGTGGGATGCAGGAGGCCCCCCAAACGGCCCCAATTTGGGGTGCAAAGGTAATTTCCCAAGGGAAGAGGAGGCTTCGCTCGTCAGGCAAAGGAATTGGGACGGGGCTGTGGGCTGCTCTCGCACTCCTCCCGCATGTGACCTACTGCTATTTCTTCCTCTCCTGACGCGGGAGGCTGACAAGATGCTGAACGCGTCGGTGCAGAATAATATCAGATCCCCTGGCTCTGCGCATCTCCTTTGATGCCTTTGTCCAGATCATTACCAAGTTTGTACACTGTTTTCTTTGTACTGCCTCCACCAAATAGTCTGCTCCCGTTAACGGCTAATAATGTCAGTTATTACTAGACACTGCCAGGATTGATTCGTGCTGCACCTACACTTCTGGAGCTGAAGGTCAGGGAACAGAGACAGTTTCATCTGTCTTTTCTCTACAGGATTCACTGCTTGTTAGGCTATTAGTACCAAGGAAAAGTGATTGGACTTACACTGGTCTAATCACTTAAAAGAGGTACCGGGGACATTGTGAAAGTGCCCTCATGCTGCACACAACGGTTTATACAGGTTTTTGTGGGCCCAGTGGTATTTGTAACAGGGACCCAAGTAGACAGGCATGAATCCAATTTTCATTAGCAAATCTGCAGGTGGAAAGGAGAGTATTAAAATCAAGCTTTGCTTGCACAACTGTGGTTTTAATGACGGCAACTGACTCACCAGTTCAATAACCGAAGTCCACAGTCCCCGTTTCCAGAAAGCCAGCTTTCACCCTGCCAGGCGCAAAGGGCTGAAAATTGAACCTGCATGAGTATCTGTGTAAACGTAGAGCTCAAGTCAGGGAGTTCAAGCTCCAGCCCGTTATGTACATGTTTGAGGCGAGGCTTAAGGTAAGCGAAAATGTGGGAAGCCAACGGAGGACCTCTAGCTTTGAGCCAGCGTGGGACTCCCACCTTAGAAATTAAAAAGGGTAACACGGGACACAGAGTTTTATGTCTGTCTCTATCAGCGTGTGTCTGCACAGCTCCAAAGGACCTGTCAGGTGCCTTTCTGATAAAATGAGCCCTTCATCCTTAACAAAGCTCTTCCTTAAAAAAGGTGGAAGGGAAAAACAAAACCCAAATGAACCCAAGGTTTCCGCACTTTTCCTGCCTTTTTGCTCACTGAAAGATGGGAGCCGGGAGGGTCTCCCCAGTCCCAGCCTGGCTCACTTATGGCTGCAACTGGAGCACAAGCACCAAACAACAAACCAGTCTCCCTCCGAGGAACTAAAATGGAAGCAATTTTAACCTGAATCACAGAAGGCGACAGTCTGTTAGTTCTTCGTGGACATTTTTCTGCTCTATTTCCTGTTGCATATAGTACCCAGATCCCATTGTGATAGAAGCATTAGAAATGCATAGAGAGAGACAGACACAGGGAAAAGGAGGCTGGATTTAAATATTCAGTGCTAAAGGCACTATATTTTATTTTCAGGAAATGCAGATAAACAGAAGCTCTCTAAGAAAGCTATGTACAGTTTAATAAAGTGTATGCTATAGGATGTCCTTGCAGCACTTTTATTAGCATTAATAGGGCCTAAGCTGTCTGTATGTAAATCATTGCAGATCTAGGAGATGAAATGTATCCTAAGACCCACACGACTTACCTAATTATACTAAGAAAAATCCATGAGCTAATCATCCTGCATTGAGCAAAACAAAGATAGGGGGATAATGGCTTTAAGCTGAAGGAGGGGAGATTTAGATTAGATAATAGGAAGAAATTCTTCCCTGTGAGGAAGGTGGTGAGGCCCTGGCACAGGTTGCCTAGAGAAGTTGTGGCTGTCCCCTCCCTGGCAGTGTTCAAGGCCAGGTTGGATGGGGCTTTGGGCAACCTGGGCTAGTGGAGGGTGTCCCTGCCCATGGCAGGGGTGGGACTGGATGGGCTGTGAGGTCCCTTCCAACCCAAACCAGTCTGGGGTTCTATGTTGCAAATATTCAGCAATAACTCATTATTTGTTGCTAATTGCCATCATACTACAATGGTTTGCCTGTTACCTGTACTTAATTCCATTTCCAGCAAGAATACAAGAACGTGAAGTGTTCAGAAAAACCACGTAAGTAGCAGCACTTGTCACAGAAAGTTGCAAAGACCACTGACAATGAAGCATAGTGCATATTACTACCAGGGAGATATTCATCGCACAAAGGCACATGCTTTTTATATTGGAACATGTAATTTTAGCACTCTTAATGAGATTTAAAAAAAAAAATAAATTTTTTTTTTTACAGTAATCCTGTAACATTTGACCAAAGGTTTCATTTGCATAATTCCCAGGGTGCAATTTAGTAAATCTTGTTGAGAAGTTAAGAACATTATCTGAATACAATGTAAGGTTTACTTCTTTTGTGGAAACTGTTCCTGGAACAGTTTACCATAATAACAATAATAATAATAACAACAATAATAATAACAATCGTCATCTCCTCTATTCCCAAGGAGCTCACTAGATCAGGAGAAAAAAATTACTGGTTGGGGGAATTTACTGGTTCAGGAGAGAGTGGCTTTTTCATTTGTTTATGCCTGGGAAGTGAGAAGATGTTAACATAGCTGTAGGATAATCGTCTGACTGGAGAACATACACATGAATTTTTTAAATTTATCTTTACTTTTACAATGCAGTCAAGAGTTATGCAGGGATCTGGGTTACAGAACAGGTCGTAGAAGGACAGTTTTCCTTAGCTGCATTTATACTTTTTTTTTACTCAGAGAACCCTTGGAGCTTTGAGCTTCTCCAGCACCAGGCATGGTACAACACTGTGTACGATGATGCGAGCAAGATGAATGATGATGGTTGATAACCGTCATAAGAGGGATTTGCTTGTAAAGCACCTTTCACTCTCTAAAAAAACCCTCTAGGATGGAGCTTAGATTGGATTGTTACACCGGTGAGAGAAAATGTCCCAGATAGAAAGGCAATTTATGGTGGAAGGATAGGATTGGGGATCCCATCTATCTTATGGACACAGGTGAAGTTTTCTGTGCAGGAACGCTAGGATGCTAAGTATTTTCACCTACGCTGACACGTACAAATGGACCATCTGGAAACTGTGGGACCGGCCACCAAAGCCACAGAGGGAACCTGCAGCAGAGCTGGGTACCAAATTTGCGTTGCCAGACCTCTGCTTGGCTGCGGCAAGCAAGGACACAGCGGCCTCGCAGCCCAGCGGCGAAGCAGGGGGCGGGTCTGAGCTCGAAGCATTGATGCACCATCCAAAATGGAGCACAAGGGCTGCAGTCAACAGTTGCAACTCAGAACCAGAAGGCCAAGAGTCTGACTCAGTTCTCATTTCTATAGAGTAATCCCAGGAACAGGAGAAATCGGTGCTATTTCAGAGATTGGTATTTTCCACTGCAGGTTCTGATATAATAACTGAAATGTGTGAAAATGAACATTGCAATTCTTGAGATAATCAAGAGCTAAGCCCTTCAGAGCTGTTTTTTCTCCTTTGTAGCAACATCCCACTTAGATGGGCTTGAAAAGCAGCCTGCTTGTGACACAGGACTGCATCCCGCTTTTTCAGATAAAATCTTAGGGTTCGTGCATCTCCATCAGGATTTACTCTGTAGCTAAACTGTTCCCACAAGTTTTACTGGTAAGCAAAATTTCAACTGATGAGCTCCTTTGAGGTACCAGATTTTATCACTCCGTTTTGCTCCTGTTGATCCACATCCTTCTTGTGCTCTTAGCACTTCCATTTCTCGCTGAGGGGCTTTGAATTCACAAGCCCTCTCATCCTAGCAGACGACAAGAACCGTCCCACATCCCCGTAACTCTCCTGCAACAGGAGTGGAGGCAGTGTCGACTGTGGAAAGCTGTATGGTCAGCAGATTGGAGGACACCTATGAGTCCATAAATTACACAGTTTTTGGAGCACGACATTGCCAGAAAAAAGTGGCCCAATGGAGATTGTTCAGACAGTAGTAAAGGAAATGCCTGGAAGCCTCAGAACTCGGGTGTGTAAGGAAAGGCAGAACAAACAAGGACAACTGAGACTACAGAAGAGAAGACAGTACTGTAACAACAGTATTCCTGTACCTGAGAACCGATATACAATGGATTTCACTCAGCCGTACAGGCTCTGGGTTCTGCCCATCACCGTGTGATGGGATATGTAAGTGGCTGGGAATGTATGTAGAGAAAGCAAAGCTGGCCATTTATACTCTGTTGCATTTTCTCTCCACAGAGCAAACTAGAAAATAAATTCCCCTTGAAGTTCTCCAACTTTCTTTATAACAGTATGGAATTAAGAATGCCCTTCAAAAAATACTTAATTTCCCAATCTCCCACAGAATACTACGCAACATTTGCACTAACATGACCTGGGGAGACTTAGACTTGATTTTTTTGTTTTATAAAACCCATTATAATTATTAATGAACACATAAAATAATGTAAATGATAAGCAGTAAGTGTCTTTTATTATTAAGCTCTTAGCTATTTTGCCCATTAAGAAAACCAAATTAAAATAATTGAAGACTATAATCTGTCATGCATTCAAAATGCTCCATAGAAATTCAGACAGGCAAACATATTCAAAGTCTTTAAATGAGCACACTTAAGAGTCAGCCTAAGCATTCCAGGATTGGCTCATTAATTTTAGTGGAAATATTTTAATTCAGCTACTCTTACTGCTCATTGAAATCCTTGCTAAGGACTTATTTATTTTTAACTGAATCTGCAATATGTTTAAGAGTCATTTGTATAAAAGTTCTTAACTCTTATTTCACAGTTGTTTTAGAAGCCAGTACAGAGATGCATCTCTAGCCGTGTATTTCCAAACAAATTACTGCATGCTGCTTAAAACATCACATATGGTCTCAATAAATAGATGCAAAAGTCAAATGGACAAAGAAAAATTAGGACAGATTTGGAGACCCAAGCAGGTTAAGGTGATATTTATTAACCTCTGTCACCTTTTATCACACTTGTCAATGATCCCAATCTACTTCCCAGAAAGAAAGAGAAAAAAAAGAAAAAAGATCCTCTAAAATACTTCAGCTGTCTTCAGAGAAAGCCATCTATTCTGGGCCTTGCAAAGAGGATGCTCTGACATGCCAAGGGCAGCTATCACGTTTGAATAAAAGGAATGTTTCCACTAACTGCAACACTGGGCTTAATAGCAGCCTGCAAGTCTTTATCCACTACTGGACAAGACGACTACCAATTGAGCTAAGTTCCCCATGGCGGTGGTATTTACAAACAAGGTTAAGCAGGAAAAGATTTCTATTGGCAAAGAAAGGAAGGATGGAAACACATTTGTAACTGTGGATTTCTTTCATCCCTCTACCGGGGACTGGTTTCATCTCACACGTAACTGTTTAAAAACTTCCTATCTGGTTTAAGATAGCCAAATAAACAGAAGACAAGCAAACCTTTCCAGATGGAAATCCATCCTCCTCTCTTGAACGCTTAAGTACACATCAAATTTCCTGGAAGAAGCGGTTTTCTCTTTCCACATGTTGTAGAGACTAACGCTTACACTAGATGCCTGATTGCTACATGGCTGAGATTCACTGCAACAAATGCCACTCTTCCTGCAGTTACAATCAGCATTTAGCTACTATCATTATTACTATGCAAGAGCTTAAGTTTCTTCCTCCTCTTTAAAATCCAAATGCAAGCCCAAACTGTAAAAATGCTCCCTTTGTCCTTGTAGCTGGATGTCTCTCAGGGTGAACCTTCCTCTGCTCCAGTTGAAATCTGTGCGAAGTGATTTATAATACATTTATTTTGATGATGAAACAGAGTAAAACTAGTATGTCAGAGAGATTAAAGCTATCATTTAAGTTATTGATGTAACCGATGATGCAGCCAGCATTAGAGAAAGACATGAAACTATAAAACGTTCAAACCCAAAGAGAAGAACCTCTCACACACCAGCGGCTCGTGCTCTGCAGCCTGCAGAGGAACCCGTTCCCCATCCAGCTCGCCTGCTTCTTACCAGGAGTTTGCTTCCCCTGCACTGACCCTGCGAGCGCTTGGCTGAGGTGCTTCACCAAATGTTCAGCTGCTGGAAGCTCCCAGCGTTTCACAGGTCCTTTGGCTCTCATGCGGCTCCCGCTGTCCAAGGGCTGTTCTCCAGCACAGCAGCTCCCTTCGGGCCAATGACGTCCATGTGGATACGTTTCTCCGGAGCTTTCCCTATGCCCATTGGTAGCTTTGATAGTCTCCCTCTCTCCCTTCCAGGTTTTTTTGAATTGTTTACCAGGGTTTTTCTCCTCTACCTGGATGAAGATGTAACATCGAGCAGATGGAGAACAGGAGTATATAAATCGGACTCAACAAGGAGACCGTAATGCAGCAGGAAAGAAGACTTTCTGCCTGTGATTCTGGCCAATAACCATGTGTGACCCCATGCATAAGCACGGGATGAAAATTAACTTGTCAGACTCATGGTCCAATTCAAAACTACCATTATTCTGCTTGGGATAAAAGCAAAATAATAATCACTTTGCCTAGGAAATCCAATTTCGTACATGATCAGATGAGACGCTACAAGCACAGAACACCTGGTGCGCAGCAGTGCAACCAGGCTCAGGATCTGCTGCATTTTAACTTTGCTTTCCTACCTGCTGAAACAGCAAAGATTTATGTTTTAGCATGAGTTGTCTGGACACAAGAAGACTGAGGTCTGCAGGATTCGTGGGGCCAGTCTGCTCCCTGCGTAACTCTCCAGCTGGGCCAAGATTTCCGAGTGGTGACTTGGGACCGACAGCAGCTAAGACCGTGCCAGCCCTGCCAGGTCTCTGTCCTTACCAGTGAAAACTCAGTAAATTGCAATTTGTTGCATGGTCTTCATGATTAAATAATTAAGCAATTTTCATTACTCGCTATTATGAAGGTCAAGACGCTAACGTGCCTTTATCAGGAACTGGCCCATGCTAATGGATCTTCCACATCTAACAGTAATTGATACGGCAGAGTAATTTCTCAAGCAACATGTGTCTTTCCTCAGGCCTTTTGCAGCCAGTTCAGTTTTGAAGTGCTCCACTGTGGAAAAGCTTCAGACTGCAGCAAGGTGAGTGAGAGGAAGAAGAGTGGCTCCGATGGGAAGAGAAGATTATTAAGGATCAGCAGAATACCACCACGTGACCAATGTCTTATCACTGCCAGAATGCTGATAGCAGGAGCAACAAAACTCATTCTTACTACTCTTTCTCTTATCTCTTTTACAAGAAAGCAGATTCTTCAGTGTAGTGACTGAAGGCATCTCAGTGGAGTTGCATGTGCTGCTATCGGGTGAATTTTGGCCCTGAAGAACTGAGCCTGGTTCACACTGTGCAAGATGCAAGTGGCTGATATTAAGTAACTGGGATTTGAACCAGATGCACAAGCCCTCCTCTGCTGTAGAGGATGCTCCTTGACCAAAGGTCAAAGAAAATACCTCTGAGAGTTCAAAACACGCTGTTCTTATTCCTG